GCCCTGACGGGGAATTGAACCATGATCTCCTGGTTCACAGGTTGATGCTTAACCCCAGGGCCACACTGGCCGGCCCCCGAAGGTCTTTACAGGAGCTGAGGCCCAGGGCGAAGGGGACTCACAGGAAAGGAGGTGAGAGCGGCAGGGCCCGGGATGGCTGGCTCGGATGGGATTTGGGATGTGTTGAGTGGGCGAGTCATGGTGTCTGAGGGCTTGTTAGGGTCAAAGGCCCCTCACACCCTGTGTGGCGGTGAGTCTGTTCTGCCGGAGGTGACTGCACGGCGAGGTGAGCGGAGGCAGGATATAAAGAGGGTCTAACCGAGTGGCAAGGACCACGCCCCCTCCCTGGGCCTCCTGACAGTGTTTGGGCTCGGAGGGGGTGTATGTGCTGAGCGTGGCTGGGGCTGTGGGAAGCTGACCTCGCCCTGGGGAGCAGGCTGCGAGGCTGGGCAGCTCCTCAGGCCGTGTGCGTGAGCTCCTGCCCAGGTCCCGCCTGACGCCCAGCGGAATGCTGCGGGTGGAGCTGCCGTGCCAGCCGCCAGCCACATGAGCGCTGCAGTGTAGCTGCTCTGACTGAGCAACTCATCTTTTAATATACTTGAATGTAATTTATTCATTTTATTTATTTTTAAAAATTTATTTTTATTGATCTCAGAGAGGAAGGGAGGAGAGAGAAAAATCAATGATGAGAGAGAATCATTGACCGGCTGCCTCCTGCACGCCCGCCACTGGGGATGGAGCCCTCAACCCGGGCAAGTGGCCCGGCTGGGAATCGAACCCTGACCTCCTGGTTCATAGGTCAGTGCTCAACCACGAGCCACACCAGCCGGGCTAAATGTAATTTAAGTTTAAATCTAGACAACAGGTGGGACTAGTGGCTACCACACTGCACAGCTCCAGTCTGAGGCAGGTCTGCAGAGCCGGCTGCCTGCTGAGGCCAGGAGAGGCTGAGGATGGTGCTGTGAGTGGGCGGGGCTGCCTCTGAGCCTCACAGCCAGCCCAGCAGGGGGCGGTATCCTGGCTGTGCCAGGCCCCCCACACTGACCACGCCGGCCGCACCCCGAGCCCAGGTGGTGGGAGCCAAGCCCAGGGCGCGCACGGACCCTGTGCCCGAGGGGCACCTTTCCCAGGAGCAGAGCCTGGTTTCACTTGCTTTCAGCACCTGGGGCGCAGGGGCCGTGCTGACAGGCTGTGGGGTGGATTTCTGCCTGTGCCTTACACACACACTCACTTTCTCACCCTTTTGGAAGCCACAAACGGAGGTGTCACAGGGCCACACACACACACACACACACCACGACGGACTTTCCTTCCTCTTCTAGTTCTGGTGGCCCAGGGTTCCTTGGCTTGTGGAAGGCTCACGCCAGCCTCCGCCTCTGCCTGCACATGCCATGGGCCCGTCCCGTCTCTGGGGCCGTCTCCCTTCTCTCACAGGAACCGCCTTCCTGCACTGGGACTGCATCGAACTCGATTCATTAGCAAAGACCCTCTCTCCACAGGCTGTCCGTCCACGGTGAGCGGGCGGCTGCCAGGCGGCCACAGCCCTGGTGCGTGTCCCTGCGCCCGTCCTCCCCGGGCGCTGGAGCGTCGCCCGGCCTCGCTGCACTATTGCTCCTTCTGCCTCGCCTTTGCCTCACCCTGTGACCCCCGTCCGGTCTCATCTCCCTTCCTCTGCCACCCTCTGTGCAGCACCCCTTTGCCCAGTGTAAAATCTAAAGTGCATCATTTAATCACTACGTTTAAGAAACAAATACTTTTATTGGTTTCAGAGAGGAAGGGAGAGGGAGACAGAGAGAGAAACATCAGTGATGAGAGAGAATCATGATCAGCTGCCTCCTGCACGCCCCCCTCTGGGGATGGAACCCTCAACCCTGGGCATGTGGCCGGACCGGGAATCAAACCGTGACCTCCTGGCTCAACCCCTAAGCCAATGGGGGGGAATACTTTGAAAGTATGTGTAATATTTCAACAAGAAAGATTTATTTTTAAAAAACCACAAAAAACAACTTCCTCTTCTCTGGCGCACGGCCCTGGTTGATGCTCTGTAACCTCCGGTGCTTCCCCAAAGCCTAAGTCCTGCCCAGCTCAGACCGCAGGTCTGACGTCATTTCTCTATCACGTTTCCCTGCATGGTTTCACCGCCCGGCTGACACCCACCCGCCCCAATGCTGTCCCCCCACCCCAGCTGTCTTCTCAGTCTCCCATTTGGGTGTCTGATGGGCAGGTCCCACCCCAGCCCTCCCCGCCTCTCCTGGCTCAGTGGGTGACATCACTGCCCCTTCATTGTTCCAGAAAAACCTGAGTCACTTAGGACTCTTCTTTTCCTTTCAAACCCTTTCCCCTCTGTCTTCCTCCCCCTTCAAACCACTAGTAAGCAAGTCTTCTCTGTTTTGTTTTTGTTTTTGTTTTTTGGGGGGGAGAAGCATTAATATATTTCTTTAAATATGTTTGATTTACAATGTTTAGTGAGCCAGTATATTTATGGAGATAAATTATTATTAGGCTTATAATGTAAGAGCCGTCTGTTACCCCATCCTAAATTTTCATTCCTCAAAGCAATCATTCTCAATTATTTTAGCTACTTTTTTTCACTATTTACTTCTGTATTCCAATATCTGTCATATAGTGATGTCTTGTTTTTCAGCTATAAGCGTTGTCTTTGACTTTTGACATTGCCCTCTCCACCAAACACGTACACTTATTCTCCCATCTTCCAATCTAGCTTTATTACAATTTTTGGTTAAAAATCAGTGTTTAGTGTTTATGGTAGTGTGACTGTATAAATATTATTCACAGATAAGCCATGCAATGTGCTACTGGAATTCTTTTTCCCCTCCCTCTGGAGTTACTAGGTGGCTTTTTTGGGGGGGATTATTGAGAATTAAAAACACTCGGTTGGGGTACGTGTGGGAGGGAAATTGATGTGTCTCACACGGATGTCTCTCTCTTTAACCTTCCCTCCCTTACAATCGCTAAAAATCAATGGGAAAATATCCTCAGGTAAGGATTAACAACAACTCACTTAAAAATAACAGATTTACAGGAAGTTGCAACAATAGCAAAAAGCAGTCCCCTCAGCAGTGACATCTTACATAGCTGTAGCATAGAATCCAAACGGGGGACCGATCCTGGTAAATCCTAGGCCACGTTCAGATCTCAGCTTTAACTGTATCTCAAAGCCAACACTTGTCTGCTTTTGCCACCACATTTTCTTTCTAGATGACCAGCATCTCTTTCAGGATTATTGCAATATCCTCCCGACTTTTAAAAGAAACATGCTTTTACTGATTTCAGAGAGGAAGAGAGAGGGAGGGAGAGAAACATCAGTGACGAGAGAGAATCAGTGACCGGCTGCCCCGCATGTGCCCTGACTGGGAGTGGAACCTGGAACTCCTGTCCGCGGGCTGCACTCTATCCACTGAGCAAACCGGTGAGGGCTCCTCCTGATTTCTTGCTCTTGTTATTCTTCAGCAACACGCCAGTAAACCAGTGCCTGAATCAGATGATCGTAGCTTCGTGTGGCTTTCCTGGAGGAGGGAGTCTGAGAGCAAGGGTGGAGCCTTGGCCGGGACGTGGGGGAGAGCCACGGAGCGGATGTGGCCATGGAGCGGGCCTGAAGATGTGGCCATGGAGCGGGCCTGAAGATGGGAAGACCCCTGACGAGCTGCAGGGGTGCCCGCAGCACAGGGTGGTGAGGGCACACCCTGCGGGCCCAGGGAGGGCGTGGGACAAGGTGTCCGTGGGGATGAGATCCAGGTCCCAGAGGGCCTCGGAGGTCATGATGAGGAGTTTGGGTTTTAGCCCCGGCCGGTTGGCTCAGTGGATAGAGTCGGCCTGCGGACTGAAGGGCACCGGGTTCAATTCCGGTCAAGGGCACATGCCTGGGTTGCAGGCTCCATCCCCAGGAGTGGGCATGTGAGAGGGCCAATCAATGGCTCTCTCTCACAGTTGTTCTCTCTGCCCTCTGTAAGAATCAATAAAAAACCACTAAAAAGTAGCGGAGTCGGTCTTTTGTGTTAACGCCTCCTCCTGCCCCCTCCCCGGGAGGCGCGGGGATGGCGGAGGGATGTGCACTTCGTGAGGCCACTCGAACATGAGATGGCCCCCCCTTCAACGTGAGAGTGCGGCGGAGAGCCTGTGCGCTCATGCCGGCGCGGAGCGCTCCCGCCGGGCTGCTGCGCGCCGGCCTCGGCCTCCGCATCCGCATCCTGCCCGCCCTCCGGCCGGCCCACCGCCCTGCGGCTCTCTAGGAATCTGACTTTGCACTATTTTTATTGTGGTAAAAACACATGGAAAACTTACCATCTTACCCATTCTTAAGTGTACAGTTCAGTAGTGTTGGGTACTAGTTTATTTTTTAAGCCTATCTTTTTAATACATTTTATTCTTTATTGATTTCGGAGAGGGAGAGGGAGAGAAACATCCATGATGAAAGAGAACTATTGATTAGCTGCACACCCCACACTGGGCATGTGCCTGACCTGGTTCATAGGTCACTGCTCAGCCACCAGCCAAGCTGGCTGGGCTGGATACTGGGCCTTCTACCAAGTGCTCAGAAGGAACCGCTCTACCCAGAGCTGCCCACGGAGTAAGAGGGCCTGGTGTCTGCACCGCCTCCCCCAGGCCCCGGCCCAGCAGGGAAGGCCGTGGGGGAGCCTCAGGCTGCCGGCTTCGGGGACCTGGGCCCGGCGCGGCCGTCCTAGCACCTGAGCCAGGACATGTGTGCAGTGCGGCCTGCACATGGCCTCTTCGGGGAGGGAGCTGAGCAGGTGCCCCGGCGCTCCCTCCCCCTGGTGATGGTCCGCTCCTGCTCCTCTGCTTGCCCAGCACATGCCCTCCCCACACAGGCACCACCGGAGCGGGCATTCCCGAGGACCAGGTGTGAGGAGAAGGGCGCCACCTCTTAGCACTCGTTGGCATGTCTCAGGGCCGGGGTCACCGTGGGCAGGTGTGTCCCGCTAACAGAGCGGTCCTGAGCGGCCGCACACTCGGTGACCTCACCGGCCAGGCGGGCCGTGGTGGAAGGAGCGGAGCCGGGACCACAGGTTCCAGAGGCCGGTTTATTGTGACCTCCTCCCTCCTCACGGGGAAGCCGTAGCGGGGCACAATGCGTGTCACAGGGCGAGGCAGAGCTGCCAGGGCCCCAGGAGCAGGCTGTGGGCAGGGGTCAGGCTCCGGCACCGGCGGGGGCTGCGATGGTGGAGGAAACACTGGGGCCAAACCCCGTGGCTCTGGGCGCCCTGGCCCCTCACCGCCTCCGGGTCGGCGTCTGGGATGCTCAGGGCTGGGACAGACACCTGCTCAGCTGCGGGGGAGCAGCAGGCCCCTTCCAGCGTCCTGAGGGAGGGAGAGGAGGGCCCTCCTGCACCCCTCCCGCCCCTGGGCGCGGCCCCAGGGAGGCCCGCTGTGGGAAGAGGCCGGCTTCAGGCTGGGGGAGGCGCCCCAGCTCTCCCCTCACATACCGACACAGGCCGCAGCTCCCTAGTCTGGGCGGGCTGCGAGGCTCTGCACCAAGCACACCTCCCTCCCACAGGCACCCTTCCGCCCCACAGCCCCTCCCCGTCCTCACTCTCCATCAGGCCCCAGCCTGGCTGTCCTTTACACAAACTCCCCAAGAAAAGGCAGGAAAACCCTGAATGGACTACAGAAGCAGCAGCAGCTCTGGAGCAAGAAGGAGAAGCCAGTGGTGTGTGGAGGTGGGAGGCGCGGGGGTGGGGAGTGGGTCGATGATGGCATGCAGCACAGGACTCCTTATGAGGGTGAGGTCCCCATCCCCCGCAGGTGTCTAAGGGAATGGGGGAGGGGCAAGCTGACCGGACAGGGCCTGTGGTTTCCTGCGTCTCTGTGGCCCAGCCGGTCACAGGTCACAGGTCACAGGTCACAGGGAGACGAAATCCATGGCCTGCAGGAGAGGCAGGGAGAGCAGCAGCAGCAGCAGCCACGAGGCATCCTGGGCCAGCAGGCAGGCGCCCCTGCACTTGACCAGCTTGTCTGTGGGGAGAGACAGGGAGAGGGCAGAGCAGGCGTGAGGAGCAGCCCAGGCCGCCCTGCAGGGAGATGGCCGGCTCCCTGGGGAGCTGGCACCATGAGGCTCTGGGCTGGAACCAGGCCAACCTGGTCCAGCAGAACCACCTTTCCCACGAGCAGGGTCCTGAGTCTTTGAGCTAACATCATATCCACTCTCTGCTAACATCCTCACGGGAAGACTGGGGTGACTGGCCAGTGTTGCTCAGTGGGTAGAGAGTCGGCCTGCAGACTGAAGGGTCCGGGGAATGTACTCAGGCTGCAGGCCCCTCGCCCGCCTGAGGCCCTGGTCAGGGATCACACAGGAGGCAACCAATCGATGTGTTTTTCTCACGTCGATGTCTCTCTCCGTCTTTCCTTCTCTCTCCCTAAAATCAGTGGAAATATCTTCGGGTGAGAATTAACAAAAATACAACCAAACAGAACTGGGTGAGGTGGCCGGGTCAGCCCCGTTCTCCAGGTGGGGAGAGGGGGGCCGTGGCAGCGGGTCATGGTGGAGGCCGTGCCTGGCCCTGACCCTCGCCCCCTCTCTGAAGGCAGGGACTCCCAAGGCGTGGGAAGGGGAGAGGCTGAGGCGCCCCCTCCGGCCAGCGGAGCAGTGCCCGCTCCTGCGCCCCTGCAGCCTCCGGGCGCTCACCTCTGAGCACAGAGATGTTCTTCTGGGACACGTGCAGCTGGCCGGGCAGGTGCAGCTCGCAGGCGTACAGCCCCTCGTCCCGGGAGCTGAAGCCGGACAGGTAGAGGACCTTGAGGGTGTTCCTGTAGGTGAGGTTGGTGCGCGAGCGGTACGTGTGCTCGGGGACGCCGATGGTGCCCAGCAGCACGTGCTTCTTGGCGTCCCGGGTCAGGCTGAACTGGAACTGGATGGGCAGGGTCGTGGTGTTCTCATGGCGGCAGTCCAGGCGCAGGCTCTGGTCCTCCAGGCAGGCCGTCAGGCTGGTCACCTTCTGTGGGCTGGCCACCTGCAACCCTGCCCCACAGCGCCCCTCTGAGCAGCGGATGGCCCGGAGGGGTGCGGGCTGCCCAGCAGCAGGCTTCCCTCCTTCCACAGCAGAGGGCCCGCCCTGGAGGGCACAGGGAGTGCCTTCTGAGCCCCCATGTCCTGTGAGCCGAGCCCTCCCCCAGACACCCATGCGCCTCAGGGCCAGGGCACCCTGGGGAGCTCCCCAGGGAGGTTCCAGCTCCCAAACCACCCAGGCTGCCAGGGCAATCGGCGCCGCTGACTGAGGGATAAAAAGCACCCTTTCTGCCGGGGCCTCGTGGCTCAGCAGTTGCCCTTGGATCCAGGAACCAAAAGGTCATGGGTTCGATTCCTGATAAGGGCACATGCTCCAGTTGTGGGCTCGATCCCCAGGGTGGGGTGTGAAGGAGGCAGCCGATCCATGATTCTCTCTCCTTATTGATGTCTCTCTCTCTCCCTTCCTCTCTGAAATAAAAATATATTAAAAAAAAAAAGAAGAAAAAAGAAAAAAGGATGATCCCTGACCGGTTTGGCTCAAGTGTCCCGGGTTCGATTCCAGTCAGGGGCATGTGCCTTGGCTGCAGGCACAGCCCCAGTGGAGGGTGTGCAGGAGGCAGCTGGTCGATGTTTCTCTCTCATCGATGTTTCTAGTTTTCTATTCCTCCCCTTTCCTCTCTGTAAAAAAATCAATAAAATATATTTAGAAAGAAAAGAAGAGCCCTCCCTCCGAAGTCCTCCCACCTTCCCAGCCAGGAGGAAGCAGCTGGCTTTTCACCGGAGGAAGCTAGGCTGCTGGAATCCCAGCCCGCCCTTGCTCAGTACCTGTCAGCAGGAGAGTGATACTGAGGACGGGGTTCATGGTGCCGAGCTCGGTCCTGGGTCTGTGGGTGGGAACAGGAGTCAGCCAGGAGGAGCCGGCGTGCCATGAGGGCTGGGGCCGGACACAGGAGGCAATCAAGCCTTCCCCAGCCCAGGCCCTACTTCCAGCGGCCGCCGGCCGCCCCTCCTTCCCCAGGAGCGCAGGAGGAGCGCAGGGAGGGGCGCAGGGGAGGGGCGCAGGGGAGGGGAGCAAGGGGGGCGCAGGGGTGCCGCTGGCTCTGCGATCTCACCCGTCAGGAAGGCAGGGACTCCTACTTGTAACGGTGGCAGCGCTCACACACCGGCACCACCTCAACCACTCAGCTTCTCTCTCTCTTTTTTTTTTTAATCCTCATCCGAGGACATTCAGAAAGAGGGAGGCAGACAGACAGGCTGCCTCCTGTATCGTCCTGACCAGGAGGGACCCGCAACCAAGGCCTGTGCCCTGACTGACCCACAGCCTGCGCAGTCAGGCTCCAAACGCTTTCCATCCCGCACCCTCTGAAAACAACGCCGCTCTCCGGCTTCCTAGTTCGCTCAGAGGGAACGTGTCCACGCTCCCGGCGGCAGCGCCCCAAGGTGCTCAGGGATGGACGCCGGGCGCCAGCGAACCGGGCTGTGAGGTCCGGAGGAGAGGACGGCGGGCCGCCGCGCCGCCTCTGCGGTCAGGGCCGCGGCCAGGCAGCACCACAGGCTCCCGCTCCGGGCGGGCGCTGCCCGCGGGGCGGTGCGGGGCGGTGCGGGGCGGGGAGGGGGTGCCCGCGGGGCGGTGCGGTGCGGTGCGGTGCGGGGAGGGGGTGCCCGCGGGGCGGTGCGGTGCGGGGCGGGGGTGCCCGCGGGGCGGTGCGGTGCGGGGCGGGGGTGCCCGCGGGGCGGTGCGGTGCGGGGCGGCGGCTGCCCGCGGTCGGGCTGCAGAGGAACCGAGAGGCTCCAGATGCCCAGTTCTCCCCGCAGGCCTCCTGGGCCGGCCTCAGCGCTCTCAGGCCTGGGCTCTATCCCTCCCCCCCTTTCTTCTTTGCAACCGCAGGCGACTCAGAGCGGGCACCAGCCGGGCACCTGCGCGCCAGGGAGGCTGCTGAGGGCCGCAGTGCGCCTGCCAGGCCAGGGCGTCCAAGGCGCAGTCCGGTCGCGCGCACTGCCCCGCGGCTGGGGGGCTGGGGGGCTGGGCCCGCGGCTGGGGGGCTGGGCCCGCGGCTGGGGGGCTGGGCCGGCGGCTGCGGCCGCGGCGAGAGGAACCTCTGGGGGCGCAGAAGAACGGGGGCGGCTCTGGCTTGTGCACCCCGAGCCATGGAGAGAGGCGCGAGCTTGGGGACGGGAGCTGAAGCAGCAGCGAGGCAGAGGGAAGGCGTGGGGCTGCGGGCAGGGCTGCGGGGCTGCGGGCCACAGGGGCGGGCGGGGCAGCGGCTCTCACCTCCTCCGCGTGGGCTCTCACAGACCGGACCCCGGCGAGGCCCCCGCCGCCCTCTCCGGCGCCCACACGGGTTCCTTTCCCGTCGTTCGGCCCATCCCGCCCCCCGCGTGGCTCCCGCCCAGCGCTTCCAGTTCCTCCTCCCCCGCCACGGCCCTGCTCTGCGGGCCCAGCCCTCCCAGTTCCCCCAGCTAACCGCCTCCTTCCCGCTGTACCGCCCTGCCTCCTCCACCCCCACCCCACCCCTCCACCCCCTCTCACCGCCCCACTCCACCCACCCCCCACTCCACCCCATCTCACCAGCCTACTCCACCCCTCTCACCCCCCCACTCCACCCCAACCCCCACTCCACCCCCTCTCACCCCCCCACTCCACCCCCACCCCCCACTCCACCCCCTCTCACACGCGACCGCCCCCCACTCCACCCCAACCCCCACTCCACCCCCTCCCCCCCTCTCCACCGCCCATCCACCCACCCCCCACCCCCCACTCCACCCCCCCACCCCACCCCAACCCCCACTCCACCCCCCCCCCACACCGCCCCCACTCACCCTCCACCCCCCACTCACCCCCACCCCCCACTCCACCCCACCCCCCACTCCACCCCCCACCCCCCCACTCCACCCCCACCCCCCACTCCACCCCCTCTCACCGCCTCCACACTCCACCCCCACCCCCACTCCACCCCACCCCCCCTCCCCCCCTCTCACCGCCCCCCCACTCCACCCCCAACCCCCACTCCACCCCCTCTCAACCGCCCCCCCACCTCCACCCCCAACCCCCCCACTCCAACCACCCTCTCACCGCCCCCCCACTCCACACCACCCCGCCACTACCACCACCCCCTCTCCTCACCGCCCACTCCCACCGCCCCCCCACTCCACCCCCACCCCCCACTCCACCCCCCACTCCCACCCCAACCCCCACTCCACCCCCCCCTCACACCGCCCCCCCACTCCCACCCCCAACCCCCACGCCACCCCACCCACCCACTCCACCCCCCCCACTCCACCCCACCCCCCCACTCCACACCCCCACACCCCCACTCCACCCCCCACTCCACCCCTCTTCACCCTCATTGCACCATCACCCACCGCCGCCCCCACTCCACCACCCCCCCCCCACCTCCACCGCACCCTCTCACACCGCCCCCCCACTCCACCCCACCCCCAACTCCACCACCCCCTCACCGCCCCCCCACTCCACCCCCTCTCACCGCCCACCACCCCCCCCCATCCACCCCCACCCCCCACCCCCCACTCCACCCCCTCTCACCGCCCCCCCACTCCACCCCCAACCCCCACTCCACCCCACCCCCCACTCCACCCCCTCGCACCCCCCACACTCCACCCCACACCACCCCCACGCCACCCCCACACCAACCCCTCCCAGCCCCCTCTCACTCACTCCACCCCCCCCCTCCACACCCCACACCCACCCCCACACCCCCACTCCACCCCCACCCCCCACTCGCCCCCAGCCCCCCTCTCACTACCCCCCAACTCCACCCCACCACCCCCACTCCAACCCCCCCACTCACCAGCCCCCCCCCCACCCCACCCCCACCACCACACTCCCACTCCCCTCTCAACCGCCCCCCAACTCCACTCCAACCCCCACTCCAAACCCCCAACCCCACTCCACCCCCTTCTCACTCACGCATCACTCACAGCCCCCCAACTCCAACTCCACCCCCAACCCCCACTCCAGCCCCCAACCTCCACTCCACCCCCTCTCCGCCCCCACCCCCCTCACCGCCCCCCAACCGCCACCCCCACCCCCACTCCAACCCCTCTCACCGCCTCCCCCCCCACCCCACCCCCACCCCACAACACCCCCTCTCACCGCCCCCCCACCCCGGCCTTCCGAGCACAGCTTGGAGCCTCGGGTGGAGAGCGGACCCCAGGGTGTCCTTGGGGCCCTTCCCCCAACTCCCCTCCAGCGGCCCGGCCCCGGAGCCCCTGTGGGCGAAAGCCTGGAGGCCCTCCCGGAGAGGCCCGCAGGCTGCCCCAACCCTCCCGCCCTCCAGAAGCGACCCTCCTCCTCCCCCTCTCCCCTCCTTTCCCTTCTCCCCTCCCTCCCCGCCCCCCTCCCCCTCTTCACCTCCCTCTCCCCCTCCTCACCTCCTTCCCCCTCCTCCCCCTCCCCTCCTCACCTAACTCCCCCCCTCCCCTCCCTCCCCCTCCCCTCCCTCCCCCCTCCCCTCCCCTCCCTCCCTTCCCTCCCCTTCCCTCCCTCCCCCTCCCCTCCCCTCCCTCCCCTTCCCTCCCCTCCCCTCCCTCCCCCCTCCCCTTCCCTCCTCTCCCCTCCCTCCCCCCTCCCCTCCTCCCCTCCCTCCCCCCTCCCCTCCTCCTCTCCCTCCCCCCTCCCCTCCCCTCCCTCCCCCCTCCCCTCCTCCTCTCCCTCCCCCCTCCCCTCCCCTCCCTCCCCCCTCCCCTCCCCTCCCCTCCCTCCCCCCTCCTCCCCTCCCTCCCCTCCCCTCCCCTCCCTCCCCTTCCCCCTCCTTACCTCTCTCCCCTCCCCCCTCCCCTCCCTCCCCTTCCCCCCACCTCCCTCCCCTTCCCCCCACCTCCCTCCCCTTCCCCTCCTCACCTCCCTCCTCCTCCCCCTCCTCACCTCTCCCTCCCCCTCCTCACCTCTCCCTCCCCATCCTCCCCTCTCCCTCCCCCTCCTCACCTCTCCCTCCCCCTCCCCTCTTCACCTCTCCCTCCCCCTTTCCCTCCCCCTCTTCACCTCTCCCTCCCCCTTTCCCTCCCCCTCCTCACCTCTCCCTCCCCCTTTCCCTCCCCCTCCTCACCTCCCAAGCGGGCGCCCCTCCTCCCCGGTGCGCAGCCTCCAGTCCCGTCCTCCCTTCGGGCTGCGGGGCTCACAGCACATGCCCAGCCCAGCCCTGCCCCCCTGCCCCCCAGCCCCCCAGCCCCCCAGCCCCCCAGCCCCCCAGCCCCGGGGCCCCAGGGCCAGCGCTCACCTGCTCCGTCTGCTCCGTCCGCTGCCTCCGCTGCCGCCTGCTCTGCGCGGGAGCCGGCGCCGCCGCAGCCCTGGGGGGGGGGGGGGAGCGGAGGGCGGCCAATCAGAGGCCGAGCGCGGCGAGCCGGGCTGACGGGGGCGCCGGGCGGCGTGTGCAGGGGCCTCCCGCCCGGGGTCGCTCCCCTTTCCCGCGCCCTCTCCCGCCGGCTCCGAGCCCACCGAGCCCTGGGCAGTGGCCTCACCGGGCGCCCACCCCCGGCCAGGGAGGCTCAGGAGAGGGTGGGAGCTGAAATGTGACAGGCTTTTCCGGAGGAAGATGGTGGGGTGTTTCCCGCCCTGGAGCGGCCCTTGGGGAGCAGGGCAGCACTGCCCCGTTTTTCCAGGTCCCCGCCCTCCCTCCATCCTGGCACCCAACTGCAGGGCTGCCTCCTCTGGGCGCCGTCCCCTTCCTGGGCTCTCCTTCCTGGGCTGGCAGCGCCCTGCGCAGGAGCTAGAAGGCTCCTACCCCGCTCCCCTCCCCCCTCCCCCTCCCCCTCCTCCTTCCCCATCCTACTCCCCTCTCCTTCGCCCTCCTTCTCCTCCCCCCTTCTCCTCCCCCCTTCTCCTCCTCCCCCCTTCTCCTCCCCCCTTCTCCTCCTCCCCCCTTCTCCTCCCCCCTTCTCCTCCCTCCCCCCCTTCTCCTCCTCCCCCCTTCTCCTCCCCCCTTCTCCTCCTCCCCCTTCTCCTCCCCCCTTCTCCTCCCCCCTTTCTCCTCCCCCCCTTCTCCTCCCCCTTCTCCTCCTCCCCCCTTCTCCTCCCCCCTTCTCCCCCCCCTTTCTCCTCCCCCTCCTTTTCCTCTGCCCCCTCCCCCCAAGTCCCTGAGCACCGTGTGTGCTTGGTCTCCAGACCAGGGCAGCAGTGCTGTTCTCCACCAAGCACTGTGCTGGGCATACCACCGGTGCGCCCCCCCCCCCCCCCCATCCGCTGGGCTCATCCCATTGCGTGGCTAGGGAGTGGGGGAGTTTCCAGTCTGCCTGGGCTGGTGAACCCGGATCCCAAGGCCCAGGCTAGTGGGGGGAGCCGCAGGCAGGGGGGGAGCTGGGCCAGCTGGAGAGGAACCGCAGGGAAGAGCTTTCCCTCCCAGGGCGCCTGTCCTGGTGCCCCGTCCGCTGCCACCGACCCGCTCTCACCACATCCGCTGTCACCAGAAGCTCGTGGCGCTTTTCCTTAAAAAGAATCCCGTTGCTTTTCAGAGAGTGGACGAGAGAGGGAGAGACAGAGAGAAACATCGATGTGAGAGAAGCACATCAATTGGTTGCCTCCTGCACACCCCTGAGCAGGGGGGAGGGGGGTCTGGGGAAGAGCCAGCACCTGAGGTCGGTGCCCTTGACCGGAACTGGACCGGACCCTTGGGGCCGCGGGCGCCGCTCTGTCTGCTGAGCCGCCCGGGCAGGGCTGGGCTGTCCTTTTTCAGCCAGACTGCCCACGTGCCTCCCTCCACAGGGGAGGGAACTTTTTGAAGGAAGGTTCCTTTTATTGATTTGCATTCTCATGGCCACTTTGTGAATTCTGGTCAGGACACCCTGCGGGCCTTCCCGCCACCTGCCTGCCTCCTCCTCTCCTGTTTCTCCGTAGCCGGGGCCTGCCAGTCACTGTGAATGGCCCTGGGCACCGGCCTCTCGGCCGGGCTGGGTGGCCTCCGCACTCAGAGCGACAGCTCTCACGGGAGGAGCCTGGTGGAGGAGCCTGGCGGGGGGAGCCTGGTGGGGGAGCCTGGCGGGGGAGCCTGGTGGAGGAGCCTGGTGGAGGAGCCTGGTGGAGGAGCCTGGCGGGAGGAGCCTGGCGGGGGGAGCCTGGTGGGAGGAGCCTGGTGGGGGAGCCTGGCGGGGGGAGCCTGGTGGGGGAGCCTGGCGGGGGAGCCTGGTGGAGGAGCCTGGCGGGGGGAGCCTGGTGGGGGAGCCTGGCGGGGGAGCCTGGTGGAGGAGCCTGGCGGGGGGAGCCTGGTGGAGGAGCCTGGTGGAGGAGCCTGGCGGGGGAGCCTGGCGGAGGAGCCTGGTGGAGGAGCCTGGCGGGGGGAGCCTGGCGGAGGAGCCTGGCGGGGGAGCCTGGCGGGAGGAGCCTGGCGGGAGGAGCCTGGCGGGGGGAGCCTGGCGGGGGGAGCCTGGCGGGGGGAGCCTGGCGGGGGGAGCCTGGCGGGGGGAGCCTGGCGGGGGAGCCTGGCGGGGGGAGCCTGGCGGGGGGAGCCTGGCGGGGGGAGCCTGGCGGGGGGAGCCCGGTGGGGGAGCCTGGCGGGGGGAGCCGGGGGAGCCTGGCGGGGGGAGCCCGGTGGAGGAGCCTGGCGGGGGGAGCCCGGTGGGGGAGCCCGGTGGAGGAGCCTGGTGGAGGAGCCTGGCGGGGGAGCCTGGTGGAGGAGCCTGGTGGAGGAGCCTGGCGGGAGGAGCCTGGCGGGGGGAGCCTGGTGGAGGAGCCTGGCGGGGGGAGCCTGGTGGAGGAGCCTGGTGGAGGAGCCTGGCGGGGGGAGCCTGGTGGAGGAGCCTGGCGGGAGGAGCCTGGCGGGGGGAGCCCGGCGGGGGGAGCTCGGTGGAGGAGCCCGGTGGAGGAGCCTGGCGGGGGGAGCCTGGCGCGGGGAGCCTGGCGGGGGGAGCCTGGCGGGGGACCCCGGCCACGCGCTCTGGGCCAGTGGGGGCCGCTCCCTGCCCCGACTCCCTCGCGGCTCAGGAGAGCTGCCTGAGTCTGCACTTCTCACGGCAGCCTGGGGTCTGGTCTGGTATCAGACCGTTCTCTCTCTCCTTTTTTAAAACACGCACCAAGTGGCCAGATGATGATGATCTCTGAACACATAATAATCTGGCTACTCAGTATCTATCCTATATGATAAAAGGCTAATATGCAAATTGTCCCCTCGACCAAGAGTTCAACCAGGCCTGCCAACCGCCCATGTCCCCTCCCCCTGGCCAGGCTAGCTGGACCCCGCCCAAGCACAAATTCATGCACCGGGCCTCTGACACACACACTCTGATATACTGAGTGGCCAGATTATTATGCATTCAGAGATCATAATAATCTGGCCACTCAGTGTATGTTTGTATTGATTTCAGAGAGGAAGGGAGAGGGAGAGAGAGAAACATCGTTGATGAGGGAGAATCAGGATCAGCTGCCTCCTACATGCCCCACTCTGGGGATCCATCCGCAGCCCAGGGATGTGCCCGATTGGGAATCAAACCCTGACCTGGTTCATAGTCTCTCAACCACCGACGGAGCGGCGGCCGGGCTAAGACCGTTCTCTTCACATGCGCGTTCGCGCACACAGATGGAGCTGGAGACCGCGCCTTTCTCCCTGTGGCAGGACATGGGCTTCCCAGAGGCCATTAACCTCAAAGCGCTCCGGGCTCGGACGGGCTCGGATGGGGGCTCCCGCGGGGCTCGGATGGGCTCGGATGGGGGCACAGATGGGCTCGGATGGGGGCTCCCGCGGGGCTCGGACGGGCTCGGATGGGGGCCAATGCGCTGTCTCCCCTCCTCAGCCCCTCTCTGGTGCTGCTGGGTGGAAGGCCTGGCTGTGCTATTTTGATGAGTTCTGAGAACCTGGCCTACATTCTGGGTCCCCAAGCACGGCCTCCAGCCAGGGAGGGGGTGGGACTCCGGAGGGAGGGGCAGTCGTGTCCGCTGGAGCAGGTCTCCCTCTGGATCGGGTAATGGCTCAGGGAGAAGCCCTGAGCGCAGGGTGGTGCAGGAGAGAAGATCTAGAAACTGCCATTTCCTAATGGGGAGGGGCAGGTGCTCACAGCAGGCAGGGCTAAAGGTGCCAAGCTGAGGCGGACCTTCCTGGCAGGCCGTGCTGCTTACTGATCCCTAGATCTCCCTTCTCCCACCATCTCAGGCGCTCCGGCTACAGGCACCTGGGCTCAGACCGCTCAGATGCTGGCTCCTTCAGGGTGACTCAGGAACACGACCTGCTACTCCTCTTCCCATTCACTGATGTAACCAGAAAGTTTTATTTATTTATTTATTATTTATTTATTTATTTATTATTTATTTATTGAGGAGTGAGACCAGTTTAATTTAGAAATAAGCTTTGAACAGCCTCCTGATCAGAAGGAGCCTAAGGTCTCCAAGTGGGGAGGGAACCAACCGCATGGGAGCTGGCTCTGGAGGTGCCACGGAGCTGGTCCTCCCTCAGACAATACTGGCAGAGCCTGACGTGGTGAGAGGAACAGCTTTCTCAGAGAAGGGGCTGAGGTTGCAATTGCGCTTGCATTTGCACTTGCCACTCAGAGCAAACACGATTCCAGCGATGGAGAGGAGCGCAGCGCAGATCATCCCGCCCAGCTGCAGGGTCTCCCAGTCGTAAGAAGAGGAACTGTCTTTGGCTTCCAAGGCAGGCAGGCCTGCCCGCACAGGGAGAAGGCCCCAGGTCACTCCCTCCATGTCACAGCTGCAGGCAGGGCTGAGAGCAGGTCTGGGGAGGCCGCTGGGGCTGTAGGGATAAGACGGGAGCCTGCAGCTTTGAGTGAGTCCTGAAGTGTGTCTCCAAGAAGAGTCTCCGAAGAAGCCAGTCTCCTTCCAGGTAAATCCAGAATGTTCTTTACAAAACCACAGAGGCGACAAGACATCTCATCATTCTGTTTCTTGATTGTTTTTTAAAATATATTTTTATTGATTTCAGAGAGGAAGGGAGAGGGAGAGAGAAATAGGAACATCAGTGACGAGAGGGAATCTTTGATTGGCTGCCTCCTGCACGCCCACACTGGGGACGGGTCCCAGAATGTGGGTATGAGCCCTGACTGGGATTTGAACTGTGACCTTCTAGGAGCGAACTCATCAGTTCGCAAACTCATCAGTCCACAGAGCCAAATACCAACAGGACAACGATTGAAATTGCTTTTGAGAGCCAGATTTTTTAAACTTAAACTTCTTCAGAATAGACTTGCCAGGCTGTGGCAGAGCCCCACTAAGGGGCCAGAGAGCCGCAGAGTGCTGATTGCAGTCCTAGATCATATAATAGGCTTCAGAAGCTCAACCACTGCTGGCGTCCCATCGTTTTAGAGCAGGAAGCCAGGGCCTGAGAAGGTGAGTGATTTGTCCAGGGCCA